GGGTGCCTCTCTGGCTTTTCCCATGCCTTGTTTGGTGACGGAGCGGGGGCCCCAGACATCACACAGACAGTAAACAGCAGGCACTCCATAAACAGCTACCTGCTCTCAGCCTATTAGTGGGCTGCACTCTGTGAGGTCCGGGCTTCACACTAATTCTCTGACACTTCATCACATGTTTGGGGGACTTTGCGGCAGGTGCATGACAAGGGTGCATTCTTGTATCTACACACTGTCTTTCACAGGGCTTCGGTACACAAGGAGGTGAGACAAAGCAGTAAAGGAAACAAGAACAAACTGGTTTTACACAAGAATTCAGTGCAAACAATAGTTTTAAACCATAGCAAAATAATTGTCTTCTTGTTTTACAAATGGTGATCGCAGTAATGAAGGCCGCAAATGATTAATCTGTCTGTTATTTTGACAATAAAACAATCAAGGTGAGATTTAAATTCTTTGCTCTGTCTGACACACAAAAATATTCCTAAAACATTTTATTTATTTGTTTGTATTTAATAAAATATCGTATTATATGAAGTACAAATAAATATCAGCATTTAGTTCCTGAAAAATGTTTTTTCCGTTTAAACTGTTATGTTGTAATAACAAATAAAAGCTTTGATTATTAGCCAATTGTTTTCATCCGGAGATGACTTCACCTTGAGAAGTTTTACGAGTAGATTTCCATTTGCCTGAAGGAACGACGTAACCTACTACAGTATGGGTCACTACAATATTAGGTAACAGAAATGAGTCATTCTGTCAGACGTGTGAAACGAGGGATGTAAGAATCTGTTGGGACAGCGTGTTGTTGTAATTCACACCTGAGTAAGCATAACATTATCTGTTTTTGGTTTGACTCGAAAACACAGACAGCACCACCAGCCCCATCTCGTATCTGTATACATTTCAGCGGGTCGACCCAATGGCCAGCAGTGACGTCCCCCTGCTAGCAGGAGCTCGCTGGCCAATCCACCCCTCGCCATGACCAATCTCCTACACAAACATCCAGAGCCCATAACCGTAAATCCCACCCCGGGGAACACACCCGGACCACAAGCTTGCACAAAAACATCCTTCAGCATCACAGGGGAAAGTTACTGCCCAACAAATCTCTCCTTTCTTTCCCCTAAGAGCAGCGGGCCATTAAACTATTATGTGCTAGAATTCGGCTTTTCTCTCAATTGAAGGCACCAGCCGCAAGTGTCCACTTCAGCCGGCGCAGGGGCACTTGTGTGAGGCGGGGGAGATATTTGTGGTGCTGTTACGTCTTGTAAATGTGCCTCATTCTTCTAGAAAAGGATGGAAGGAATATAATGCCTGTATTAACTATAATAAGCCTAATAAATGACATGCATATTTATCATCTCTAAATAGCACTGCGTTTAATGAATTAATTGTTTAGTGCATAACATATCCTAAAACTGTCCAGTGTCTCAAAGACAAAAACATATTTAGTTCAATATGATTTAAAACTAATTAAAGCAGAACATCTCCATAACAGGCTTTTCTGCCATTGTGCATGAGAATGTACTTTAATGATGAATTGATTATCACAACAACTTGGCGATAGTTTTTTGTCAAGACAGCTGTATTTTAAACCCCAAAACAAAAGCATGTTTTTGTTATCATATTACTACATCCCCTTTTTGAGCAGAAAGAAGAACAAGTCCCTGGATAAACAACGTTTGTATCTCACAGGGACTTGTTTACCTCGCTACATATTTTAACAAACCCTTTCTGAACATTTTATCATTCGGCGCAGGGCTCTAAAACAGTCCTTCTGACAACAACACATATACAGACTGGTACTGTGAAACACAGAACAATGCAGTTTAACTGGAGAACAGCCAGATCGTATCAGTGTCACGGTGACACCAAGGGTTGAAAAAAGAAAGGCTTGTGAGTCAGCTATACATGTTCCTCCTTAGAACATGTAATACCTCTCCTCACATAGCCCTACACCGTGTGCAGAAACGTTTTCCTGTTTATCGGAGGTAAATACGCTTTCAACCACATGCTCTGAAACTATGCTGCGAGTTGTTTGCCTTCCCCTGAAGTGAACTGTAAAGTGTGAGGCACCTTTGTTTTTCTTTTCACCTGAGGCTGAAAGGCTCAAATAGGTAACCCAAACTCTCCTGAGCAAAGAAACTGTAAAAGGGAATTATAATTTCATACATAACCGTGATGGCTATCTGTTGCAACAAAAGGCATTTCAAGTGAAAACCTCATCCGGCCCAGCCCGTTGGCCTGCACACTGTGCATTACTTCCACCGCACATTTTTCAACAAACATTCCTAAAGTGTTTTGTCTCGATAAAGAAGACAAACCGCATGCTGTCTCGGTTTAGCTCATTTGTACAAAAGGAGGTGTTTGAGTGAAATGTACACGTGTCCTTCCTGTGTGGTCAGGTCAAATGAAAGCACAACAAGGATGTCAAAAGATGAAGAAACCGGGCTTTTGCTTAGTGCATGTGCAACAGTAGCATTTTGTAAAATGACTCCTCCTTATAGTTCATGTGTCAAACTCGAGGCCCGGGGGCCAAATCAGGCCCTTGGTGGATTTAATTTCGGCCCGCAGGATAATTTTGAATTACTCTGAGATCTAGCCCGCCGGTATATTGCACGCACACCTTCACTCCATCCTGAGGGTCTCCTCCGCTCAGAGCCTGAACCCAAACATTGATGACCTTGCACCCAAGATGAGATGCCAAGTATCTGCTTGAACTAGCATCACAGCAGCAAACTGAGTTTAATGGATGTTTCCTTCTGCACTTTCTCTCTCACGACAACAGGGCATGTTTGTTTTGTTCTTTGAGGGAAATTGTTTTCTGAAGCTGTTGTTGGCCTGTGGAGAAACGTACTCATAAGAAATGACTCTGGAAAAGCTGCAGATAGAGCCATAAGAAATGAATGCAACTGATTATTTAACGTTTAATGTTGTTTTTATAGGCAATAATTGAAGCTTTGTTAGTTCCAGGTTTAATATGTGCAAGAAGTTCATTTCAATACGTTTTGCAATGAACATTGAACCAGTCCGGCCCTCGACTAGTACCCATTTTGAAATGTTGGCCCACTGTGTATTTGAGTTTGACCCCCCTGTTATAGTTGATAAAGTAAAAGATCACATTCTTTGTTTGTCCTGTGATGATCAGATAACTGTCACACACAGGTTGAGTTTCCCAAAGGAACCATTCAGCCACTAAATATACTCATAGAAATATATAGACCGTTTTTTAAATGTTTCAAGAACTCTAATTGCTCCCTTGAGATATTTCCCAAATGTCCTCTTTTCACAAAATAAAAGACAGCCTCGACTAAATTGCCTCTGCTGAGTTGTATTTATGACCCCAAATCAAGGCTGAATTATTTTGAGCAGAGTTGTTATAGCTATCTGCCTCACACCTAGCATTAGTCTATTGGAGGCTCTATAGCTACAAGTGAACATTTGTTCTACAGGAATGCAGAGTATGCAGGAGAGTGGGGGGATGGGAGGGGGACAGCAGCTCGGCTGTGTGGAGGACTCCCTTTTCATCCTGATTAAAACCATTAACCAAGCTGTCTTCTGCAGAGCAATAAGGACTAAAATAATCATTTCCGAAAGAAGAAAGCATTGTGGCATTAATTGCATTTCTTTTTTATTATATCGCCTCTTAAATGCTCTTTAAACACTTGAAGTACTTGTAATGTCGGCATCAAGGGAATGTAAGATATGGAATGACGTTATTTCAAGATAAAAGTCTTGAAGTTTGACTTCACTATTAACAACAATGGCTTACTGATAATACAAGAATGTACTGAGTGGTTGAAGGCACCATTATGTGTTTTCTTTCATTTAAGAAGCAGATTTTTGAGGGAATTGGAAAATGTTATTCTTTCTGAACTAATTTCAAGAGAGGATTATGATTTGCGCTAGGCTGTTGAGACTGTTATCAAAATGATATTGTAATTCACCATTTTGGGTCAACGGACATGTTATTGAATGAAATGTTGAGTGTGATGCAGATCGGTAAGAGGTTAAGGTTCACTAATGGTGTGTGTTGGAACGTGCGAGTGGACAAAGGTCACCTCTGGGACAGGGGTCACCCACTCAGGCAAAACTGGTACAGCTCAGCCTCACATTCTTTTCTTAGGTTACATTCTTTGACCATTGTTAGGAAACAATTCTCTCGAGCGCTGTGAGTGTCCGGTTATGAGAGAACGTGTAAATCGACACCACAATCTAACCCTGGGGAATCAATAAGTGTGAAGTCGCGGGTGTGAACGAGCTGGGTAGAGTTAACTGGAGCTTACGGTGACCGATGCAGTTCCCCTGCGGGTTTCCGTCAACCAAACATGCGCCTCCAGCTTAAAAAGTGGCGGGTGTCCTGAGAGGAATAACAAGCATCTTCCAAGCTAAACTCCCTCTCTGTGTGAGGAGCTATTAGCGCACGCTGAGGGAGATACAGACCTGACCAAACAGACAGGCCTTTCAGCAAAATAAAGCATCGTGTCTTTTCACACAGTACTCCAGTGACAGAGCTTTCCAAATATGAAAAGAATAACATGAGAGTTGGCATGCGCCTCGCTGACCTCTCCAGCTCTCTATCACATGGAGACCTGTTGCTGTTACACTGTTTATCTTTTCAAGCTAAAAGCTAACATATGCTGCTAATCAAACAATGATAACGCTAGAGGCAGAGAGTAACCCTGACTTAACTTAGCGATACATTTTTAACGAAAATATAGATTACACCCCTATTAATACTTATAGGTTAGTTGTGGGAAATGTCAGCTTTTTATTTAAAGAAATATACATTTCCTATACACCTCATTGTAGTTGCCATTCTTTTTTGTATTACTTATTTAATACAATTCAACAAAGAAGATTGTTTTTTCATGCATGTTCATTTCAGTTGAATTATTTTCACTCTAAAAATCACTTTTAAGTTAGAATTACTGCATGGCCTATTGCATAGTTGATTCTGATTGGTCAATTTGGACATTCAGAGTTCTGTACTGTACCTTCTGTTGCTTTTTCCAGCTGTGTAACCTCTCGGATCCCTTACACAAAAACAACAAGACATTATACAATCTATTTATAGATATAGTCATCGCACACTGGGAAAGGTGTCTACGATCCAATCATCATGATTTGGAGCATAGGGACTTCCAAGTTAACATTTACTGACTATGAGGTTATTTAAATATTTCCTCAGAACCCTTTTGAAAAACATAACCTCAAAGGTACCTTCCTGTCTAAATGAAGGATACATTGAATACAAATGTCGACCTGGTCATAAAAAAAAACTACTGTGGCAAAGATAAAAGCATTCAAAGGTGATAATTATTGTCTGCCTTTAAGACGACTGCCTGGATTGCTCCAGGGCCAGCCAACAGGAGCCAGACTTAAAACAATGTTCAGGATGTTCAACGTATGGGACAACAAGAATGTATGATCATAAATACTCAACATTGTCAGTCTCTAAATCACATTTCAGCTCAGGGATGATTCATGTGTTTGTGCTTGCTAGCTTTTAAGGTGGTTGATTCCGTTTTGGTTTACTGTGTGTAGCATTCCAAGTCAGATGTCAGTGTATATTTAAAACAACTGTGACCATCTTCCACCAGACTTACTAATAAAAACATCTCCATTTTTACTTTGACAGCAAACCACATTATAGGAATATAATACGAAGCTACTTGTGTCAGTGTAAATAAACCACTAATCCAAACGACAAATAGCTGAATTAAATGATAGGGTCGTGTTGTATGACTCCATCTCCTGCTCAATAAGAGCTGCTGTTAACGGAGAGGCAAATATCCCAAATGTTTTCGCGATGGCTCAGAGCAACACTCAGCACGACGCAAGCCAAGGCGTCCTCACAGAGGCCTCACTCCTCCCGCCAGAGGAATGGCTAAACAACTCACTCCCACTCCCAAACCTGCAGCTGGACCCCAGCATGGGAGAGTGTGTGTGAGAGTGTGCCTTTTAACCCAACAGCAGCAGCAGTAGCAGTAGCAGTAGTGGAATAGTGGAAGTCTCAAATTATTGACTACACAGAAGAAAAATCCTCTATCAATGAAACAACAGTGAAGACACAAACACATAATCTCAAGACTTTAAGCAATGGTTTGATTTAATTCATTGCTATTATAAAATGAACAAACTAATAAAATAAGTGCTTACATTATTAGTTGATTAATTGTCAAGTAGATACAAAAACTTGAAAATGTCACTTTCTTCCAGATTCCTTTAATTTAACACATTTATAAAGTAATTGAATAAAATAATCCACAAATGAACTGATAATTAAAAGTAATACATGACATACAGTAAGTTACTTTTAGTGTATGTAGTAGGAAGCCTTGTTAAACACTATGTGAGCATGTGTGTGGGTGGAGTGTTTGTGTGTGTGTGCAAACAAGAGCAAAGCCATCGAACCCAAGTGAGAAAAACAGAAAACTTTCGTAATCTATGTCCGCTCCGGTGTCTGCTACTGCTTGTGCGTATGTGAAGCACTTTGTGGGTTTGTGTAGCTGTTAAGAGGCTAACAACCCTGCAAGTGCTCCGGCATGTTAGCGGTGAGGCTGTTATCACACGATACACCAACACTTCAGGTGGTTCTGGCTGGGTGTCATGGTGGCAAACTTTGAGCTGTGGTTTTCTATCGGTTATATCAGAAAAACGCACAGAGCTTTCCTGAACTCTTAATCCTTTACGGTGCCATGACTGCAACTATGTTCTGTGGGTGTTCGCAGCACAGAAGACGAAGACAGTGTTTGTGATATACTGCCTGAGTCAAAGAGAAAAGTTCACTGTTCCAAAAAAGTTGTTGGTGCGTTAAGCAACTGTGATACATGTGAACAACTGGCAACTTGTCAATACAATCCAAGTTTATCTACAATGGAATTTTCTTTTAGAGAATTCGAGCTATCTGCATCATCCTTGGCTCCTTTCTAGATATATGGTCAGCAAGTACACAAGAAAAAATCCATCATAGAACAGATATGTGCTCCACAGGCCTCCACAGCCTCTTATCAAAGTTAAGGACTTACTCAAGTTACTTGCGCTTATCATGCTCCATGAATATTGTCTCAACTGCTCACTTAATGCCACAAATTTCCCACACTATCTGGGGTTAGTTGAAAGGAAGTCTTTGTAGGATTTGCAAGAAATCCCAACTTAAGTAGAAGTAGGCGAGAGAAAAGTGACACAAAAGGTAACATACTGTTATCCGTATACAATTTGGCAACGCCCTCTTAGCAATGTTGGCAACACCCCCAGCCACTGGGATCTGCTGGGTGGAGTCCTATCTGGAGTGCTACATCTGTATAACCCATAGCTTACAACAAACATGCAACATTGATTTGGGTAACAAGTATCCAATGGTGGATTTACTGTCTTCAACTGTGACTTGTATGGTTTTTCCACTTCCCCCCCCCCTGACCCCCGCAGCTCCTGCACAAACACCTCTGCATTCCAGCTCCCCATGAACTCACCTTTACACTGGAAAGCCTCTTTTAGGTTGAGCAGCACATCAGCGAAGCCCCGTACATCATTCACCAGATGCATGACATACTCTGGATCCACTCCTGGAGCCCCCACCAGATGGGAGGTGAGCCCCATGCTGCTCAGAGGGTTGGGGTTCTTGGAGCTGCGGCCCATATCCCAGGTCTTGGTGGATCCTGCAGACAGAGATACTGTGTGGGGCTTGGATAGATGTCTTGGTAGACCCTGGGTTTGGTTATTTCCACCAGCACCAGCACCACTGCTGCTCTTCCGTAGCATCCCAGCAGCCACCCTTTAAAGGGGGTACAGCAGGCCAGCTAGCCCCTGAACTTAACACGCTGCCCTGGTCCTTGGATGGCTGAAACACAGACAACGATGGGTTAAGATGGTGTGTCTTTGTGAGTGGGAGTTACTTTTCCAAATGTGTTAATCTATTCTACTGTATAAGACAATTATTAAAAGTCTGTATAGACAGTAACCCTTGATAAGCAAAGTAAAAAATGTACACATCTAATAAAGAGCCAATACATGTGTCCTGTAACAGACAGATAATCACTTAACCCTACTTACATTTAATTATGTGAGTTTCACATAAATAAAAACTATGAGAGTTACACAAAGTTTAGTGTTTAACGTTGCAGCAAGCACAACATATGTAAGGTCATTTTGTTATTTGCTTTCACAATATGATTTACTTCTTAAAATTACTTACAGCTAGGCTAACGGTACAACTTTAAGCACTGTTTCACTGTTGCTAGCTTGTTTTTAAAATAACGTTATACGGTCAATACATAACAGCAATGCAACACAACCGTAATAAAAGGAAAATAGAGAAAACAAAGATTTAAATTAACAAAAATAATCAACATCTCGGGTATTAATTACAGAACTCGACAGCAACACGAAACCGACATTTCTTTTTCCGGACAGTTTGCAATGAAAAAGTGATGCTGTCGACCCTGGACATAAACTGCTTTGCTGGCACAGGCATACAAAAAAGCGCTACTTTAACTCACCTGCTCTGCATTTTACTGACATAATGGCCACGGTATCCGAACAAAATGTAACTTCATAAAGTCTGTGAAAACCGACGAGCATTTCCGTTAGAAAAAACAAACTCCAACAGCGGCAGAAAGTTGTGCGCTTTGAGTCACTGTACATCGGAAAGTAGCCCACAATCAGCAACTCTCAAGTCATTCGTAAATTACCAGTCGGTTTATCACGTGACAGTAGAGACACGTTTTGATTGGCCAGATGCTTTCAACGGAAAGGAACTATGATGCGTTCAGGTGCAAGCGGACATTTTGCAAACGGATTGAACTGGATTCGTATGCATTAACTTCCCAAAATGGTTTAAATAGTATTTTATAAAAAAATATATATTACATTTGCGAGGACCTTGAAATAATGCATCCGTGTGATTGTAACTATTTCCCCCCCTGCAAAAATAAACATTTAAGAGACGCTATCACATAACATGTCAATGGATGATGGTTTGTACGATTGCTCCTGAATGTGCTAAACACTGTCATTTTTACATTTCTTAGAATTGTTATATTATAAGGACTTGCAATACGATTAGACATTACATTATATTGCTGGCTTGTCTGTAAATTCATGAGCACAGGACATTTGTTACATTTGTGTGACAAATGTGCCACACCTTAATTTATGTTGCAATATACAGTATTGCCCATATTGCCAAATTATTACGTTTCTTTCACTTGTTTTACTTTTTGTTTCGATGACAAACGTATGGTTAGAATTTCCCATTACTTATTTGAAATAGATCCTTTCTCTGAAAAAGATCCTTTCTCTGAAATAGATCCTTTCTCAACTCTGTTAGATTAGTTCAAACAAGCCTCCAGTGCTGTAGTACATTTAAATAGTGTTATTAGTTGGCATTGTACTATATAATATGTTACCTTTGACACATTAATTAAATAATTTCTGTATATTTAAACTGGGCACGCCATTGTTCTGTCCATGTTCAGCAGCAAATCAAATGTGACACTTCTGGATCCCAAACATAAGTCTTGTTTACAATGTAAGACCCTTTATCAGACACAAAGAATAATATCAATATTAATTAGGAAATAAAACATTAAGTCATTATGAAAAGTGACCACATTAAATTGTAAATGTAAATATGTTATTTGCTAAATAAGTTGTTTTGATCAATGGGTATTTTCTTATACTGATAAACTAGGCAGCAGCCTACTGACACCATTGCTGCCCTCTAGTGTAGATATCTAACAATAGGACAAGCCCTGGATAAGTAGTGTTTGAGAAAGTTGATATAAATATAATTTTGAATCAACAAAAATTGAAGGTTTTCCCTCAGAAGAGTTGTATTTCAAAAGCAGTAAATCACTCTAATTCAAAAATATATGTGTTGTACTATGTTAAAGGGATGTGTCATGTAGTCAGGAGAAACTGTGAATAAAAAAAGCAAAGAAATTAATTTACATGGTTAATCAGTGTTTGTCTTTATTTCAATATACAAAAAGATGGATGTATTCTCATCTAGTTTATATTTCTAAGCATTTCAACTCACAGATAAAATTACCATTCATACTGTTTTAGTGAAACCAACCAACAGACACACACTGACACACTGCGCACACACAGTTCACATAAACAGAGGTCACACACTTGCAGTCAAACATCCATACACACTATGAGAGATGAACAATATGTTGACTGTAAAAAAAAAAAAAATAGAAAGAATTTTGCTCACAGGATTCACACATGAAAAGGAAAAAACCTTTTACACTTGTCAAGTAAATATATACACGATAATTGATTTTTTTTGTCTTTTCTTAGTTTTTGAAGATGAGACTGACTCCATGTTAGTGTTACTAACGAGGTACTGCATGAGGTAACTGGTTTTCTGTTCAGAAGAGCTGGGTGTAAGACAGCATTTGGAGGTAACGAACGATAACGGCAGATTTTCCTTTGTGATCGTTGTTTTTTTCTGGCACAATACGTGAAAGCACCTGGGTCCCGTTCTGCTAACAAATTCACCCCACAGCATTTCTTCAATCGGGAAGTTTAACATGTGTCCTCATCAGAACACGATCCAGGTGTGATGAGATGAACTTTATTGATCCGCAGAAGAAAAACTGCTAAGTCACAGCTGAGTTTAACTACTTAAACTAATGATATTCAAGTGACTATTGCTGTATAATAAATATTGCTGGACCCTGGGACTAGCACATGCCACTGTTTACATGAATCACAACGGGGCTGCATTATAAATCATTCAATCATGTAGTTATAGACACATTGATGATATCCAAACACTAAAACCATTATTATGTATGGGTTGATGTTCTTCAACACAAACTGCACAGGAGCAAGCGTCACAGACCACTGTTAAAATCACCATCTCTTCACAGCACCAGTCAAAGCACAACAGATGAGCCTGTGTGTCGTCCAACGCGGTTAAACTATCACCAAACAGGTCTGAGCATCACATCAGCGGGTTAATATTGAGGTAATACTGTTCAAACTGGCATTTCCAGCAAGTGGCCAATCACAGAAGCCGCCAGCACCAAACCATTAGGGATTTTTTGTGGTATTTTTGACGATATACATACTAAGCTTTCTAAATGCAAGTGCTACCTACACAGCTTCTGATTCAGAGGAACTGATACCGTTATTCATAGAAATCTGCAAAACAACCACCATTCTTGAAAAACAAAAGTATATATATATATGTTTATATAGAAAATAAAATAAATCACAGGGCTAGTTGTCAGTCAACTTACTATTAAATATGTCGAGGTGGAACTGAGAAATCCCTTTCAATTTCTGTGAAATGAGAACAATAATGCCCTGATTTTGTATTTTTAAAAAACAGATCAGTGTTCGGCAACTGTGTGTTACAGGTCTATTTACAAGAATCTGCCTCTCTTCTTTTAGGTTTGTACAGCATAAACACCGTGACGACTGGTCAGGCTCTATTCAAAAAAATCTCCACAGACAAAGAGGCCCAACCGGCAATAAAATATCTCAACTACTAAAACACAATAAAATACACAACACAACTTGATATACATGTAGAAAAAGCCTGAGGTACTTGTCAGAATATCTGAGGTCAGTCTGGAAGAGTAAGCAGCTGAGGGCTTACCCAGTCAAAAAACACAAAAACAGAATATTAGCCTCACATAATATCATTAGCGTTATATTAACAAAGAATACATGTACATCTACAAATCCTTGAGTATCCTGGAATAGTCACAGCAGCATAACGGACATTCAATGTATGGTATTCATGTTATGGTACAACTATGGCATTGCATTTGAGACAAAGGCAACCATTTGAGCACTCCTTGCATGATGTACAGTGACTGAGGTATCTGGGGACTGGTGTCCGACTGAGTCTATTGAACAAACACCCATGAAAATTAAAAAAACAGACATGTTGCTTACTCAAGTATGGCCCTCAAGGATAAACCCCAACTATCTTTCCATGGTTCTTACTTTAAAAACACGCTCTTTCCATCTCACATCATTTAGTCTTCAACTTCTCACTCACTCGCTCGCTCACTCACTCAGACAGTTAACATCAAGAATGTGTAACATTGCAACTCCAGACAGCATCCGTCAATGCCCCTGGCACTGGCAAAGGAGTAACTCTGAAATGTCTACAATTAAAAAACAAAATAAAATCCAGGAATACGTCCATGATAGCTAGCTGGATAGCATGGCTCTCAACTTAGAGAAAATGTTCCAAAGAAGCCTACTGGATACCTGAGAGGTAGTTCCCCGGGGACAAGGCGCTTGTCCCAAATCTTCAAAAAAGTCCAAACGTCCAATACAACTGCTCCGCTCCCGTTTCAGCTCCTCCCTTGCGAGAAAACAGCTGTGCTCCGATTTCTTTTCATCTTATTCATTCTGAGGCATTCGCAGGTTTAAAATAAGGGAGCACACTCGAGTTAAAAAGAATCGAGAAGCTTCGACCCCTGAGGAAGATGAATATATTTTGTTTAACAGTCTCAAAACGGTTCCTCCGAGGTGTGCAGCACGTCGTCCGAGGTGTGGAGCGAGAGTTTGTTTCGTTTGGCCGCAGAAGATCATGACCAAGACAGGAAAACGACAAAGATAACAACTTATGAGGTAATAAAAATAGACTAACACGAAAGAAATACATGAGGTAATGACGATATTTAGGATTTGACACATGGTTGTTATCAGATGTGCCCATCGCATAACTTATTACTACTTCAAAACTACAGCAGATGGATGTGTTAGTAGTAGATCCGACTTAAAACACCAATTAACTGAAATACCAGTATTGGAGAAAAATAGCAGCTGCATTCAAGTTGCTAGTTGTTGTTTTTTTAAACGTTTTTAAATATTCACGGAGATCCGCTGAGTTTGGATTTGAGAAAGAAAAAGTCAGGAGCTCAGGGGGAAAGGTGGTGTCCCCCGTTCAGGTGCTGGACTCTTTGGGAGGTAGGTCCTCGTTGGTGAGAGCCGTCACGATGGAGACGGGGCTGTCTGAGGTAGTGCTGCTGGTCGTCCTGGAGATCTGGCCGATGCGCTCCTCCACGCAGCCGGCGGACAATCGCGCCTCTGCGTCGTGGTCCCAGCATTCTTCAATGGTCTCACACATCTGGTTCAAAACCCTGCAGCCACAAACCAGAAGACACAGGAGAGTTAGTATCAGTGGTGTAAAGTATCCAAGTACATTTACTCAAGCGCTGTACAGTACTTAAGGACAATTTTGAGATACTTGTACATTACTATTTAGATGTGTTTTTGGACTTCAGAGGTACACATTTGTACTATTAATACCTTACTTTGCAGATTTGGATTTACAATGTGAAATATAAAACCCACTTAGATAAGACTTTAGTTACACCTCGAGTAAATTCACAAGCTACCCTGCGCTATATAAAGTCATTAAAAGAAGCTGTAAGTATATTTTGATGCCAACACTTTTGTACTTAGGTAACATTTTGTGTAAAGGACTTTTACTTGTAACAGAGTATTTCTACACTCTGGTACTTCTACTTTTACTTAAGTACAGGATGAGTACTTCTCCCACCTCTGGTTAGTTTGTATAAAACCCAACTTTAAATTTAAATCTATTCCATAGGACAGAAATGCATCCCTTTTTCTGCGGCCTGAAGGATTAAATGAAACTGAAAAAAGTTTCAGGAACATCAACTAATTGGGAGAACTGTGACCTGAG